TGAGTTGTTGAAGCTGGGGTGTCATGAAATGGGTGTCTGTGTGGTGCAGCATGGACAGGAGATGGCTAAGAGCAGAATTTGGAAGGCTTTTCTGCTCAAAAATCTCTCCATATTGAAAATCTCATTAACTCACAGTGGGAGAGGGAGATTTTGGAGTAGAGTGTAGATCACTGAGAGGAGAATTGTAAACTCGAGACTTAAAGGCCATGAGATGGGAGGAAGGTGGATGGGAAGGGAATACCAATCTCTGGGATAAAGGCAAAGTTTGTAATTTTCTGTGTGATTGTTTCATCTTTGTTTTCATAGTCCCCTGATAAAATATGAACTATGCTTACTGTTGGGGCTGTTAAAATGTGAAAGTGGTGCTTTGTTCTAGAGAATATAGAAGATTCTACCAGAGTCTCAGACATTTGGCTGTACACCCATCTTTATTTTTTGAAATAGTTATAGAATCACATGAAGTTTCAAAGATTGAACAGAGAGGTGCTGTGTACTCTTACCCAGCTTCCCCCAGTGGTTGCATTTTATGTAACGGTAGTTAAATGCCAAAACCACCCAGTTCACAATGGTACAATGTGTATATGTTACTTTTTCTTTTTATCACATGTGTACATTTCTGTGATGACCACCACAATCAGAATATAGAACTAACCCATTCACACAAATATCTGCCTCATGCAATCTCTTTATAGTCACCTGCTCCCTTAATATCCCTAACCTGTTAAGCATAAATTGTTCTCCATATCAATACTTCGGTCATTTCCAAAATTTTATATATAAGTATGTATTCTTTTGAGACTGGCTTTTTTTTTCAGTCAGCACAATGCCCTTGAGATCTATTATAGATCTGTTATAGACCCCTATCTATTATAGACCCCAATCATGTCATGCAACAGCATCATTAGCAATCTCTCTCTCTCTCTCTCTCTCTCTCTCTCTAATATTCTACACTATGGGTATATCACACCTTGTTGAACCATCCACCCACTATAGCACATCTTGGTTGTTTTCAGTTGTTTTGTGCTACTGCTCATGACATTTCTATAAACAATCCTGTACAGTTTTTTATGTGGACATAGTCTTCATTTCTCTGGATAAATGCATAGAACTACAACTCCTGGATTGTATGTAAGTATAGGCTTAGTTTTTTAAGAAACTGCCTAACTGTATTCCAGAGTGGTTGTTCCATTGTTCATTCCCATCAGCAACATATGAGTGATGTAGTTACCCCATTCTTGCCAGCATCTGGTATTGTCATAGTTTTGCACCATTTTTTAAGGGAATAGAAAGAAATTCTTCTGCCCAAATGGTTAATTGAAGCGGGGTTCTTACAAATTTATTTTGATGAATTTACCCATTTGTGAATCCTGGGGATTTAGGCAGTGGAATCAATTTTTACTATGTTGTGTGCTTTTTTTTTCAAATCCTATATAATAAAAGCCTAATATGCTAAGTGTCTGGTTGTCCAGTCATGGGTTCAACTAATGAAAGCATAATATGCTAATGATATGCTAAGGCCGCTCAAGCACTTGCTATGACATGCACTGACCACCAGGGGGCAGTCGACTGGTCAACCTATGATGTGCACTGACCACAAGGGGGCTAACACTCTGACAGGTAGGTTAGCTTGCTTCTTGCAGCTGATTGGGACTGAGAGAGATGGCTAGACACCCCCTGGAGCCCTCCGGCAGTCCCTCCCTGACCCCAATCATGCACTGGTAGGGTCTCTGGTCCTGACCTGTGCCCTCTCACAATCTGGGATCCCTCATGGGATGTCAGAGAGTGGGTTTCGGCCCAATCCCGCAGGCCAGGCTGAGGGACCCCACTGGTGCATGAATTCATGCACTAGGCCTCTGGTATAGACATAAATGACAACTAGAAATTCCTTAATAGAGAATTCTACCTAGTAGAATGTGGATTAATGGTGGGCAATCTTTGTTTTCTTTTCGGGTGTGCTTAGAGGGGTATCAAGATGCAGTTTGGGTCATACATACTTAAGATCCTTAATTCACTGTATCTCCATTTTTTCAATGGTAAGGAGGGGTTCATAATTCTTCATATAATAATCATAAGGATTGGGAAGTTAATGTTTCCAACTCAAAACCAAATAATAAAGTGAGTAGAGGAAAAGAAGTTAATTAAAAATAGTCAGTAGATAATAGAGCTTTGACTAGATCCTTCAGTCATATGAAAACCTATGCATAATTCAGAAAGGTTTTTCACATAGGATTTTTAGGCTGAATGGAAATGGGCTTCCTTTGGTATAGGAAGAGATTCAGTAATTCAGTTGTAAATTAAAGTGGCATTGATTCAGGGTACCTGAAAACATCAGTCTCTTGGTGGATCTGCAACCATGGTAGCATCCCAAAAGCCTGTCTTCTATTCGCACAATATTTCAACCTATAACTATATCAACCATCAATAATAAACGTATTGAGTCTCTGCCATGTACAGGGCAAAATGCTGGAATCTGGAAAGCTACTATCTCTAACATAAGAATTGATGGTGTTGTTATATTCTGGGGATGACTGTGAACATTTACCAGAGTTTAGCTTTATAAGCTTAACCCAAGAAATGTGTGACTAGCATTATGGTGTGAAAGCCCACAAGGATCCTCGCATGTGGATACAGTGGAGATTTCGAAAGGGATCATTTCAGAGCAACACCAGTGCTTGCCTTGTGCACTATTCAGAAATGTTCCTCACCCAGAAAGTCCTCTAGTCCAGGCAAACTCTGAAAGGCTTTCAGTTCATATACCTGGCTTTATTGTTACAGGAGAAATTTCATCGATAAAAATATGGCCTTAAGCATAGATCAGATGCAATTAAACGTAATTTTTAAAAGTTCTCAGAAAATTTCATTAGAAGTCTTAATATCACAATTTCCTTTCTACAGCTGCATTTTCATTGTTTGGGTAACACATGTTCCACTTGATAGAAGCTTCCTTACTACCTAAAGCTCCTCATGTTACTTTTTGTCAGCAGTCATTTTAAGACTAATTATTTACGAATTCATCCTCTGTTCCAGAGTAAGTTTCAGAAAAGCTCAGGCTCACATCTGTCTTACTTTTAGGTCACAATAAGACCACGGGTAGGGTACCCAGTTGTACTACTTCCTCACTCCTGTCCCCTGAGTCAGTCTTTACAGGAAGATAACTCTTCCTTTGAGGTAAATTCTTGGCACATTACACATACAGGCAATCACTACAGGACCCCATAATAATAACTGCAGTTAGTGTTCACTGAGCACTTTGAGGGATCAAGCTTTGTTTTAGCCATTTTCATATCTTAATTTTGTTAACAGTTAACTACAGTCCTTCAAGGTGTCATTACTTGTTGTACCCATGTAGCAACCAAAAAACAGAAAGGCATTAGGCTGTCCAAGATCACACAGATTGCAAGTTAGAACTGTGTTTCAAACTCAGGTACTGTGGCTGAGGAGCCCTTTTCTTAGCTCTTGGGGTATACTACCCCTTTCCATGAATCACAGCTTAAGGAAAATGTGGTGGAAAATACTTAACCTTTTTTTTGTTTCATTAATATTTGTTATTTAACTAAATATATCTGTAATTATTTATGTATTTATATAAGACCACAGTTTTAACCTATTATTTTAATTTTCCATCTCCACAATAAATAACACTGTTGACCATTAATTGGTTGGACATGAATTTATGATATAAATATTAATCATGATTTTTGTGGGGTTTTTTTCTTCCCAGCTTTATGGTTTTCTGCAAATGACTATGTGCTTACTATTATTTTCCCAATGTTGGCTGTCCTTCTGTTCTGGGGAAGTGATATTGTGAGTAAGTACTTGTTTCTATTTTCATTTATCTTTTAGTGATGAAATTGTCATTTTAAGGAGGCAATATTGGTGAAATATTCTATTTAAGTTGTATTAGGAAATGTGATAATGTCATAAATAAGAATAAACAGAAATTAATGGTGGTGGAGTAATTGGGTGCTGCAGGGACAAACTCTCAGGACCAAACTGGAACTACAACTAAAATACAGAATAACTTCCTGCATAATAATCAACAGAAGACTCACTGGAGAGACAGATAAATGAGGATGGAAAGTGGAGACCACATAGAGACTGGTAGGAGGGGCGGAGTCATGAAAGGACTGGCTGGGCTCCCACAGACTGTAACTAAAGTTATGGAGAGATATCTCAACTGTGGGGTTTGCCACTGAGAACTCTGGGGTCTAATCCCCAAGCTTGACACTCCAGGAGTGAGCACCAGAACTGAGAAGGGTATCCACATAACATAAGGCTGTGAAAAGCAGTGGGGTTCCTTTCTGCCAGAGAGAAATGCTGGGAATGCAGGTACCCTACTAAAGGGCTAATGCACAAAATTCTCTGTGGAGCGACTCACCTTGTGGTCCAGCAGAGGGAGGACAGAGTGGACTGGAGCTATGTAAGCAAAAGTGAGGATCAGGAGCTCTGGGGTTAGAACTCAGGAGGCAGACACCTTGGTTTCTGGAGCTGAATCATTCCCTTATGCCACAGAAGTCATCTTTCTTATGCAGACATTTTTATATAGGCAGCTGTGCCTATAGAGAAGATAGATGACCCACCCTATTGGAAAACACCTTACCCCATTGTGCAGTTTCTGAGGCCATTTAAGAGAATAATAATTATCCTCCTGGCAGAATCAATTGCCCCACCCTGTTGGAAAAAAAAACCACCAGACCCGTGGATGATTGCCTGAGAGCTATTCATTCCCAGTGGGGAGTGTGCAGGAGGCAGCTGATCAATGTTCCTCTCTCATCGATGTTTCTAACTCTCTATCCCTCTCCCTTCCTCTCTGTAAAAAAATCAATAAAATATATATTTTTTTAAAAAAAGACTCATACAAGATGAGAGTGAAGTTATGGGAAAAAAATTTCCATGCAAATGCAAAAGAAAAAAAAAAGCTGGGTTAGCAATACTCATGGCTGACAAAATAGACATCAAAATGAAGGCCATCACAAGAGACAACAAATGTCACTATATAATACTAAAGGGATTGATCCAACAAGAGGATATAACCTTGGTAAACATATATGCACCTAATATAGGAACAACTAAATATATTTTAAAAAATACTTATAAAGAACTTTAAGAGAGAGATTGACAACAACACAGTTATAGTAGGGGAGCTTAACACCCCGCTGACTTCACTGGGTAGATTTCCCGACAACAAATAAACAAGGAAACAGTGACTCTAAAGGACACACTGTATCAGATGGATTTAATTGACTTTTGTAGAACATTTCATCACAAAGCTACAGAATATACATTATTCTCAAGTGCACATTTATCATTCATAAAAATAGACCACATGTTAGGACATGAAACAAGTCTCTACAAGTTAAAGAAAATTGAAATCATATCAAGCATCTTCTCGGATCACAGTGGAATGAAATTAGAAATCAACTACAGTAAAAACACCCCCCCCAAAAAAAAAATTCAAACACATGGAGGCTAAGTAGCATGTTAGTAAACAATGAATGGGTTACCAACGAGATCAGGAAAGAAATAAAAAAAAACATACTGAAAACAAGTGAAACAGAACACACAACAACCCAAAATCTCTGGGACACAGCAAAAGCAGTACTGAGAGGGAAGTTTATAGCACTACAGGACTACCTCAAAAAATAAGAAAAACTTTTAATAAGTTATCTAACCCTACAACTTAAAGAATTAGAAAGAAAACAACAAGAAAAGACTTAGTAAGTAGATGTAAGGAAATAATAAAAATTAGAGCAGAAATAAATGACATAGAGACTAGACTAAAAATAAATAAAAATAAAAATAAAATAATACAAAAAATCAATGAAACCAAGAGCTGGTTCTTTGAAAGGATAAACAAGATTGATGAACCATTAGCCAGACTCATCAAGAAACAAAGTGAGAGGACACAACTAAATAAATCAGAAATGAAAGTGGTGATGTAACCACTGACACCACAGAAATACAAAGAATTGTAAGAAAATATTATGAACAATTATATACCAACAATTTGGACAATATGGATGAAATGGATAAATTCCAAAATAAATACAATCTTCCAGAACTGAATCAGGAAGAATCAGAAAACCAGAATAGGCCAATAATAACTGATGAAATAAAAGCAGTGATTAGGAAAAACTCCCAGCAAACTAAAGTCTGGGTTATATGGCTTCATAGGGGAGTTTCACCAAACATTCAAAGAAGAATAAACACCTATCCTCCTCAAATGATCCCAAAAAATCCAAAAGGAAGGAATACTTCCAAGCTCTTTTTATGAGGCCAGCATTATTCTAATTTCAAAACCAGAGAAAGACACTACAAAGAAAGAGAATTATAGGCCAATATCCCAGATGAACATAGAGGCTAAAATCCTCAACAAAATATTAGCAAATTGCATTCAGCAATATATTAAAAAGATCGTACATCAAGACCAAGTGGGATTTATTCTGGGGTTGCAAGGCTGGTACAAAATTCGCAAATCAATAAAAGTGATATGTCACATAAGCAGATTGAAAAATAAAGATCACATGATCATGTCAATAAATGCAGAGAAAGCATTCAACAAAATCCAACACACATTTTTTAAAATTTAATTTTATTATTTTTTAATACTCACCCACGGATATATTTCCATTGATTTTTAGAGAGAGTGAGAGAGGGAAAGACAGAAAGAAACATTGATGTGAGAGAAACACATCTATTAGCTGCCTCCCACATGTGCCACAACCAGGGCCAGAGCCTGGGAGGAGCCTGCAGGTAAACTGCATGCCCTTGACCAGAATTGAACCTGGGACACTTTATTCTTTAGGCCGATGCTTTGTATGCTGAGCTAAACCAGCTAGGGCCCAACACCCATTTTTAATAAAAACTGTCAGCAAAGTAGGAATAGAGGGAACATATCTCAACATGATAAAGGTCATACATGACAAACCTACAGCAAACATCATATTCAATGTGAAAAACTAAAACCATTTCCCCTAAGAACAGGAAAAGGACAGGGATTTCCGCTTTTACCACTCTTATTCAAAAAGTACTGGAAGTCCTAGCCACAGCGAGCAGACAAGAACAATAAATAAAAGGTATCCAAATTGGAAAGGAGGAAGTAAAACTCTCATTATTCTCAGATGACATGATATTGAACATAGAAAACCCTAATGACTCCATCAAAAAACTACTAGATTTAATAAATGAATTTGGCAGGATACAAAACCAACACCCAAAAATCGATGGCTTTTTTATACACCAACAAAGAATTCTCAGAAAGAGGAACTAAAAAACAATCCCATTTATGAGTGCAACAAAAAAATTAAGATATTTAGGAATACAACTAACCAACGAGGTAAAACACTTTTACTTGAAAAATACAGGCCATTGAAAAAAGAGATAAAGAAGATATAAATGAGTGGAAGAATATTCTGTGTTTATGAATAGGTAGAATCAACATCATTAAAATGTCCATACTACCCAAGGTAATCTACAGATTCAATGCACTATTTTACAGATCGAGAACAAATACTCCAAAAATTTATATGGAACCATAAAAGACCCCAAAAGCTGCAGCAATCTTGAGAAAGAAGAAGAACAAAGTAGTACCAGATATCAACTTATACTACAAGGCTACTGTAATCAAAACTGTCTGGTATTGGCACAAGAACAGGCATATAGATCAATGGAACAGAACATAGATCCCCAAATTTGGCCCAAGCCATTACACTCAATATTTGACAAAGGAGCCAAGAGCATACAATGGAGTCAAGACAGTCTCTTCAATAAATACTGTTGGGAAAATTGGACAGATACATGGGAAAAAAATGAAACTAGACCAACTTATACTATACCATACAGAAAAACAAAACTCAAAATAGATAAAAGACTTAAATATAAGTTGGGAAACCGAAACCATAAAAATCCTAGAAGAAATCTAGACAGCAAAATTTCAGATATCCTCATAGCAATATGTTTATAGATACATCTCTTAGGGCAAAGTAAACTCAGGAGAAAACAAACAAATGGGACTACATCAAAATAAAAGCTTCTGCACAGCAAAAGAAACCATCAACAAAATGAAAAGAGAACTCACTGTATGGAAGAACATATTCGGCAATGATACATCTGATAAATGGTTAATATCCAAAATATATAAGAAACTCACACAACTTAACAGAAGGAAGACAAATGATACAATTTAAAAATAGGCAAAGGACCTAAATAGACACTTCTCCAAAGTGGACACACAGATTGCCAAGAGACATATGAAAAAATGCTCAGTCACTGATCATCAAAGAGATGCAAATTAAAATAACCATGAAATATCACCTCACACCTGTCAGAATGGCTACCTTCAACAAATCAATAAAAGACAAGTGTTGTTGAGGATGTGGACAAAAGGGAGCCCTAGTACACTGCTGATGGGGATGCTAACTGGTGTAGTCATTATGATAAACAATATGGGGTTTCCTCAAAAAATTAAATATGCAACTACCATTTGACTTAGTGATCCCAATTCTAGGAATGCATCCTAAGAAACCCAAAACACCAATCAGAAAGAATGTATGCACCACTATGTTCATAGCAGCACTATTCACAATAGCTCAGATCTGGAAACAGGCCAAGTGACCATCAGTAGATGAGTGGATAAAAAAGCTGTGGTACATGTATACCATGGAATACTATGCAACTGTAAAAAAGAAGACTCTCTTACCCTTTAAAACAGCATGGAGGGACCTGGAGCATATATTAAGTGAAATAAGTCAGAGAAAGACAAGTATCACATGATCTCACTCATATGTGGAATCTAATTAACAAAATAAA